GTACTTCTTTTTGATGTTCAAACTGAGTGTAACGCTCAAGAAGTGCGCAAATTAGAATAACGAATATCGATGTCAATTTCACGTAAAACTGCAACTTTCTGGGATTTTGTCATTGCTTTTGAACTCGCCAGTGCAAGGTGAGTAAAACCGATTCGTTATTATTCTAATTTGCGCACTTCTTGAGCGTTACACTCAGTTTGAACATCAAAAAGAAGTACTGATTGGAATACGTTCGGTGTTTCATATAAAATATGTGCATCAAGAAAGTGATGGACCATGGTATGTGCACATGGAGTTAACTGATGAGGAAGACGAAGAATTGGAAAAATTAAATATACATATGAAAAAAGATTTTCAGGCACAGGCCATTGCAAAAATCGATGCGCAGAGTTTCGTGAAGCAGAGAAATTCTATTTATTAGAACTTCAAGATTCATTAGGCAGTAATGATTTTCCCACGCTCGCTATTGTCTACGCTGATCTTTGCTCACTTTACATTACAACAAAGTCGCTTGATAAAGCAATCGAATATATGGAAAAGGCATTAGATCTTTTAATAAATCATTTGCCCAAAAATGATTCAGTTTTAGCTACTGCTATATTTTTGTCTCTAGTGGTTGATAGAAAATTCGTCACAAACATAAAACCACCTTCTTGCTTCCTCTCTATACCTTCAATTTCATCCGGTAGCATAGTACATCCTGATCGTTCAAAGCTCTCATAAAAATTCGGTTTTATACAATTGTGTAAAACGTTGATGTCTTAAATGTGTAATGCTTTATTTAATCAACGGTAAAGAAAGGTGTGACGTATACCAAGAGACTGCCTTATTCGATTAAAAACTTGCTTCAAATTCTTGAATATTGCTCATTTCCGGTTCATCAGCGTATTGTGCACGACAAAAGTCAGTAATTTCTTTCTTACTTTCCTCGGTTGATGGCATCATTAACAGAATTCCTTTAAATATTTGCGCGTACATAAAGGATGCATTCTGACATTGCTCACTGCCGTCCGTAGAAGGATTTTTCACATTAATTGCAATTACATCATTTGTAGTATATGACGTATCCGTTTGAAGTTGTTCATATAACGATGAAAACACTGTATAAACACCACGGACATCTGAATAGTCATTAGTCCACGTTTCTTGTCCTTTTCTGTCAGGTGATAATACATAAACTGAACCGATCTGAGGAAACAAATGAATACGAGGTACAACCGATGTAACTGTTTATTATGATGCTGATTCCACATTCCATATTGATACTTAGAAAAGTAGAGCAAATCAGGGCTAATTTTGGCAAAGGTTTTTCCGTGATCAAATGAAAGCACGTTAAAAAACAAGTGTTGAATATCTTGCCACTTAATTTCGTTTTCTTAGACATTATGGAGATTTTTTTGTTCGAGGAGAAAAATATGAAAAAATCAAAAAATTATGGATGTCAATGGATCGCATCGGATAAGAGTGTCAATTTATGTTTTGCCCATTTTTTGTTTAGCATACGTAAACGTTTTCTTGTGCTTCTTTTTTCCAGGTCAACAATATTAAAAGTCTAATCCTTCCCCGTTTGTTTATGCAGCTTTGAAAACGTTTCAAAATAGATTTCAGCTTGTCAGTCGCGATTCCTACCGCTGATTTTTGTTCTATTATGACATGTAGAAATTATTATATATGGATCTCATCTTTATTTGAAGAAAAAAAATCTGATATAAAGTGGACAGAAACGGCAAATAATTTTTTTTAACGAGTAATGTTTTTGCAAGTATTTGTCTTGTTGTAGAGTAGAACAACAGCCGGAAGACAGATAGGCGTACAAAGCTAGATATATGTATCTCATTTTTTGTTTGAATATTTCTGTTTCTTTTCACAGTCAAGGCTGTCTCTAGTTTCGAACGTTGGAGAGTAGAGAATACAAGTTTGTGAAAAAAAACCTATAATAACACACTTCATGGTTTCAGCGTGAATAAAAGGAGAAAAATCTAATATGAGGAAGACAGAAAGGGCAAGAAAAATGTTTTGAATGAGTAACGTTTTTCCAATCATCTGTCTTGTTGTTGTAGAGAAGAACAACAGAAGGAAGGAAGAAAGAAAAACAACGGCTTGACAGTATTTGTGTAGTTTCATCATAAAGATCGCGATTTGATGCTGTCAAAATTTTGTGGGCAGGTATTTTACATTTGTTACATGGCTGCAGCTTCGGTGTCAAAAGAGGTTTGTAAAGGTTGCGAACAAGGAGTATTTACTTGCACTGGATGTAAAAGTACTTTTTGTAAGCCACATTTTGAGGAACATCGTCAACAACTATCGGTAGAATTTGAACACATGATCTACGATTACGATATGCTTCAACAACAGTTACTCAGCGACCAATCTATTGCAAAGTCTTACGATATATTAGTTGAACGCATTGACAAATGGGAAGTAGAAACAGCAAAATGTGTACGCGAAGCTGCTAAGCGCGCTCGTGAAGTTGTTCGGCAACTTTCAGGAAAACAAGAGATCGTGTCCAAACAGATACAGAACCTTTCCATCACTCTCAGAACGGCTGAAAAGGACGAAAACTACGTTGAAACCACACTCGAAAAATGGAGAAACCAGATAAAAGAGATGAAGGAGAAAGTCGAGAAGCAGCATTCAACGGTCAACATTAACATTGACACGAGCAGAAGTAACCAAATTAGTTGGGATGATATGATCAAAGTCACTATTTCTCCCATAAAACCAGAGCTAACAATAACAAATAGAGTAGAGACACCTAAGAAGGAGTACTTTCAGTTCATACTTGGTGATGTTTGCTTGCGAGAAGATGGTCTGGTAGCAGAGTGCAGAGGAATATGGTGGGGTGAAGTTAGAGGTTCAAATTTGTATCGATCTGGCATTCACCAAATTCATCTGAAAATAGAGAACCCTAACACAAGAGACATCATACTCGGTATAATACCGTCGGAAGTGTCAATGAATCGCTGTTCTTACGCGTTCCAAGGAAGTTATGGTTGGCATTTACACGGTGAATCAATCTATCAAAACGGTATTCTAACTAAAAACTCTTACGACCGTGCGACTATTGATGGTAATGAATTTATTTTTACTATAAACTGTACTGAGGAAAGTATATCATTGCTTAATAAGTTGACTAATCATGATTCTCAAATACCAATCAACGTTCAAAATGCACCATTTCCCTGGCAATTAAGGCTCAATATGTGTGATCCAGGCAGCTGTGTGCGAATAATTCAGTGAACATACGCTTCTTTTAGCTTGCAGAAATGAATGCGATTCTCAATGTTTTAAGGGGTGGGGGAGGATCCCTGATTTAGATTTGGTTCAAACTTTGCCAAATTGTAGAGAATATTTCAAAATATATATGAAAAAAGCTTCGAGGTTTGTGGACTTATAATTTGCTAGAAAAAAAAGTTTTTAATTTTTTTCGGCCTTTTTTGCCCATTTTTACAGTTTGAATAAAATTTTTACTTTTTAGTTGGAAACTTGGATTTGTCAGCAATTGATAGAGCGCCTCGATATATATATATAAAGAGACTGTCATCGGTCCCGAACAAGATCTGGCGGAGAAATTCGGATTTGACTGTGAGAATGCCTTTTGGGAGCCAAAAACGTGCGTTTTCGAGATCTTACTTGTAGTTTCTCGGCGGAGAGGAATTTTAAGAGGAAATGTGAGCGTAGAACTTGTTTATCATGTTTTTTCTATGGGATAATACTCTGCTGTGGCTAAATTGCGTAGTGTCAATCCTTAAAATTGAGAATAGTGAGATGTTACACTACGGAGAAAAGCCGCTCAAATTTTTACGTTACTTTCTCTTTTCTTCTGAGCTAGAAGAAACGTGTTCAGAAAATCTGCAACTGAGAGAACATAGACACTTTCACATACGGAAATCAAATGGAAATGTCAAAAATCGAAAGAAATAAGGATTTTCTGGTTTTCTAGCGTCCGGAAAAGTAAAATTGTTCAGGATCTTGAATAGCGTTTCGCTTCAGGAAAGCATTGTGGAACAAAGTGTGGGAACAAAAACTGTTCAGCATCAAATTCTGCGTGATATAACCGAAGGAGTTTTTGAAATTCGTAAAGCTCAATTTTAAACTGAAATTTTACGAAAATGTAAACTTTAAAAACCAGTATTTTGAGCTTTAAAAATGGAGTTTAACAAATTCAGTTGTTTCACATGATGCTAAACGATTTTTGTTCAACGCGTACGCTGTTCAAGGCTTTCTGAAAAATACTTTTAGCACTAGAAGAGGTATGAGCAAGTCAAAGTAAAGTTTCTCCGTCAGTCTTCATCCGATAAGGACTAAAATTGTTTCCTATATAGATCACAATGTGCTCTCTCCAATGACGAAAGATTCAAGGCTCTATCTGGAAAAATGAAATATTTATGGAAATTTTAACAAATTGGACAAAAACCTTAGAGAAACTTTTTTCAAAAAACGCACGCTGTGCAGAAGTTGCGGATTCGTAGAGGCTATATCATTGTGCAATAGAAAGCAGGGTGGATTATGGTTTAATTGTGGCAGAACTATAGGAGATTCTGTCAGAATCAGAGCAGAATTGTGCAGGATCTGCGGATTGGAAGAGATGATCTCAATATTAAATCAATTTAAAATAGAATGTATGGTGAATTCTCGTAGAATTACACCAGATTCTGCCAGTAATCTGCAAAAATAGAGTTGTTTTTAAATTCCAAAGTTGGTAAATTCCATAAATTCCAAAACTCAGAGGTTTATAAATTCCAAAGTTGTTAAGTTCATAAATTCTAAAGTGCGAAAATTCCTTAAAAGCCAAAATTCAGAGATTTATAACTTCCAAAGTTGGAAAAATCTTTTTGTTCCATAATTCAGAAGTACAAAAATTCGATAGTGATATTTCACAATAAGACCCTCTCTACGAATCGGCAGTTTCTTCTAAATTCTGCGGTGAATCTGGTATTTCAACCAGAATCCACCCTTTTTTCTACTTCACACTCTCTACGAACCGGATGCTTCTCTTCAATTCTCCTGTGATTCTTTACACAATGTGCTGCAATTCTACTACAACTCAATCAGAATCCAGAGTTGTGGCAGAATCTGCCGGAATCACAGCAGGATGGAGGAGAATCTGCTGATTCGTGTAGGAATCCGCAGATTCTCCTTCATCCTGCTGTAATTCGGGCAGATTCTGCGACTACTTTGTATTCTGGTTGAATCCTGAAGTGCACCACATTCTCCCAAAATCACAGCAGAGTTGGACAAAAGAATCTGGGCACTCGTGGAGACGATCTCAATTTGAAATACAATATGCACCGCATTCTGGCTCATTTCTCGTGGAATTGTGCAGAAGTTGCGGATTCGTAGAGGCTATATCATTGTGCAATAGAAAGCAGGGTGGATTATGGTTTAATTGTGGCAGAACTATAGGAGATTCTGTCAGAATCAGAGC